ATTTTAGGAAGGTTAGCATGCTTAATTAGATCAAATATTACATTGTTAATGTGCCACACAAATTTGTCTGATTGATTAATGGGGACTTGTAGAAATTCAGAGCAAATAAAGAAAACCAGTTCTTAAGATCTCAGTTCCTGTAGAGAAGTTGTGCCATATACTCTTCTGTCGCAGTATTCATTCTTTGAGCAACATATTGTGCCTCCAACTACAATGCAATGGAAATAGAAACCATTGCCACATTTTGGTTTCAATGAGGAGTCAAGCTGGACTTGATTAATTGACCACTTTAATGAGATATTGATAATTTCATTTGATACAAAGAGGTTTTTTCATTTCTAATTTCGTTACTGGACATGGTTCAAAAACTTAAGCTGCAAAAGGTTCTTGAGCGTTATTCATATCAGAATTTTAATAATACCAATGCCACACTTAAATTGCTTTGGTCTGTGAAATTGTTATTCATGCCTTGGACGCTAGATGTATGGTAGTACACAAATCGTCCAATGGTTTTCACATTTTGGGGAGAAGTCACTAAGAAATAAATGCTTTATAAGAAAGATATTGGACTTTCAACCCACCAAAATAGTGTGTTTTATGGCAGGAAATACAATGTTGAACTTGATGCACATAGGTTGCTTTTCCGATTCCGGGTCACTCTCTTTTTTTTTTTAATATATGCTGTGTGAATACCCTTAGTTTTATACTTGCTGAACTCATCAGCTAATCCCAAGTACCAGTCCAGTGTTGGTGTTTATTAATTTGTTTTTTCTACAATTCTGGAATGTGATGCTTAGTTTCTCTATATTCTTTTCTTCTTTCCTTTGTGCTTTTTTGTGTAAATATCAAGTTGCTTTTATATACATTTTCTGAAAGGATAGCTCTTACATGTGGTGTTTGCCTGGAAGAAAAACTTCAGCCTCTAGTGTTGACTATGTGTTTGTCATATATCATCCACCTTTCCCACATTTTATTTTATTTATTTTTTTCACAAATTCCTTATAGCATTTGAATTTTGATAGAGAAGGAAAAGATCCCATTTATTACTGAAGGAATTAGGATATCGTTGTTTGTGCTCTCTCTTTATTGTCTAATACATGCATTTGCAGTGCTCTAACGATTTTGCAGTTCCTTCAGCAACTTTATATGAGAAGTTCGAGAGTTTAGCTTGTTGATAACCGAGATGTCTGTTTACTCTCATGGTCTCTAATTTAAGCCTAATTAATTTATTTTCTTGCAGCAATACATGGCACACCTCCTTTCCCAAGGTCAACTTGATGGAAGTGGCTAAAAGGAGCAAAAGACCAAACAAGAGGGATCCATTGCTTGGAAATGTGAATGGAAACTACTCATTAGCAATACACATGAAATCAAATTGATGCAACGCAATTGTATGAACTAA